CGCACGCACGCACGCACGCAAAAAGTATATTACATACATATATGTAATAATAATAGGTAATTTTATTTTTTTAAAGATATATGCTAAAATGCATATATCTTAATAATACAAATAAATTTGTTGTGTATTATTATATATAATTGTAAATATTCATTTATTCATATTTCTATTATATCAAAAACTAATAAAAATTTAAAAAATCGTAATTTCGACTTTCAGGAGGACTTTTCAAAGTCAGGAGAATATATACGGCAAGCAAAAAGTTTGTTTTGTACATAAAATTTCAGAAATAATCTTCTATTTCCAAGAATTTTCTTTTTTTTTTAAATTATCATGTTGAAATTATTATGAGAATTCGTATTGCGAAAATCAAATCTTATTACAGAGAGAAATTAAAAAAATATATAATCGGTAAAGAATTTTATATATTTATATTTTATTTTATTAGTAAGAGGAAACTGAAGTATTTAAAATTGCAAGAATTTTATGCAACACATATGCAAAAAATATATGTGAAAATATATATAATATGTAACTCGGGGAGAAATCCTTGACATCGATTCTATTATTATTTCTCATTGGGAATGTGAAACACGGAACGTCAAACATGAAGCACGAAACACACACAATGCACGCACGCATACTACGCAATATAGAACGTGAAAAGCGTATAAGGGTCTGAGCACAAGAATTGTCGTAATAATTAAGGCTTAAACACAATAGGCACAGATAATAGACACAAGGAACAAGGAATAACGAGTTATCCAATCAGAATTCTGAGATATAATATCGAACTTACATATCAGAGCTCTAATTGGCTTGTTATTCCCTGTTGCCTGTGCCTATTGTATTTAAGCCTTTACTTAGACTTAAATGGTGACGTAAGTAATGCACAATCTTCCACGTATGACGTACAACTTATTACCGTGTCTCTAAGAGCCGGCAATAAATCGTCATACGTCAAAACTGCGTTATTTACGTCTACAACTTAAGTCTCTAAAAGTGTTACAATTCTTGTGCTCAGATCCTAATGCAATATATAATGATACTACAATGATATGAAGTTAACTTACGTATTTCTGACGCGCCCACGCTATACAATTCTTTATAGATTTACAATCATAACGCAGCTAATTTAATCCGCAGATTACATGCACATATCACACTTTGATGCACTCAAGCGAAGAAATGATTAAATATATAAAAATGATCCATACACTAGATTTTCTTTTCATTTATTGTAGTCGAATTTATAGCAACGCATCATATCTTGTAATTATTGTCGCATTGATAACGATCCAATAAAGATTGAAACGTTTGTAATTTTTACTTATATTTTAAATAAGCAATTAACATTAAACATCTCTCGTTTAGCTCGTAGCTCTTATATGTATTTATTATTTTATTTAAATTATTTGGATCTGTTATTTAAAATTCTTTATTGTTGAAATTTATTTTATTTCTTGAAAATACATTTATTTGCATATTTTGAAATATAACAGTTATGACCAATCAAAAGGAATCAGGACGAGTGATTATACGTGTATTAAAAAGTATATCTTGATTGCTATTATACAAGTGTTCTAATGTAAATATATAAAAAAGAACCGTAAAATGTATAAAAGAATGTTATAATTTAAATAAAATTTCTTTATAATACTACTGATAGCGATGTTATATATAAAGATTTGATAATATGTGGAGGTTTGATATTATTTGTAACATAATTAATACAAATTATAGGACACCGGCTTGAATTACTTTTCCGGCTATCTGATTACATTTGTTAATTTATTGGCAAGCGTCCAATGCTTGTTTGAGATCGGCTATGAGATCGTCTTCGGTTTCAAGGCCAACAGATAATCGAATTAATTGAGTAGTTATGCCTAACTTTGCTCGCATATCTTCTGGCAGGGACTCGTGCGATATTAAAATTCTAAAATGAGACAAATTGATTGAAATCAGATTTTTAAATATACACGTTTCTTGAATATACTTACGGCAATTCGACTAGCGATTCTGAACCGCCTAAGGATCCACCTAATATGAAAACTTTCAATGCTAGCAAAAAGCGCTTAGAATCACCTTTCAGATAGAAAGAAACCATTCCACTGTGCCCCGTTTGTTGTGTAAGCGCAAGCTGATGTTGTGGATGTGACGAAAGAACTGCAATGTTTAACGACACAAGTATTTTATTGTAAACGCTGTAGCATCATATTAATTATTCAGACATTTTAATTAAATATGTTTCTTTTTTAAAAACGTACAAAATAAGGAGAATAAAAAATTATATTGTCACGTACGTGGATGAATCACTTTCTCAACATTAGGATGAGAATTGAGAAATGTGGCTACAGCTAAACCATTTTTCATGTGTTTTTCCATTCTTAGTTCGAGCGTTTTCAAACTACGATTGACTAAGGCACAGTCAAATGGTGATGGCACAATTCCCATGACTGAATGGGAAAATGAAGAAAAAACTGTTTATATATAAAGTGTTTAAATGCATGGCCCAGAAAAGCTCTTATTAATTTACCAATTTGATTGGACCGCAATTTCTGCGCGAGATCATCCCGGCGCGTTATAGCGGCACCCATAATCACATCCATATGACCATTCATATACTTTGTTAAGGAATACATCACTATATCGGCACCAAGATCAAGAGGTTTCTGTATTAAAAACATAATTGTTGCAGTTTCTTTTAACATTGACCTCATACGATTGAATGTAATTTTTCTCAAACTTACTTGAAAGTAACTTGTCAAAAATGTATTATCAATGACTAGTACAATGTCTGGACGAGATTTCAGACTTTCAGCAACAGCCTTTATATCTATCAGTTTCAATAAAGGATTTGTCGGCGTCTCTAGCCATATCATCTACAATAAAATTATAATGCAGAAAATACCGATATGATACAAAAAAACATAACATTTAAAATACAAAATATTCTAACACAAGATAAGCGTGTAAATAGAATTCGGATATTTTTAGTTTCTTTATTTACCTTTGTATTTGGCTGTATGGCATCTATAATGTTTTGTATGTCAGTGATATCAACGAAATTATATGTCATGCCCTGTCTGCTACTGCATTTTCGGATGTGACTATTGGTTCCACCGTACAGATCATCTCCGACAATCAAATGATCTCCTGCTTTCAATAAACCTGTAATAGCAGTAAGAGTACCTAATCCAGAAGAGAAACAAAAGGCGTGTTTGCCTTTCTCTAAAGCAGCCAAGCATGTCTCCAGAACGTTACGTGTGGGATTACCGCTTCTGCCATATAAATATTCCTACATGAGAAATGAAACAATTAAAATTCAAATGCCTTTATATAAGATTGTTGATTTTTTGCAATAATGTTTAAACACGTTCAAATTTACTTAGATATTGTAAAAATAGCAGATATTTTAACACGCAAGTACTGTTTTTTAAAAAGTTTTCAAAAAGTTACTTAAAAAGTATTTTTAATTTATATTCAAACGAATAAAATTTTTATGTATTCTTTCTAAAAGATTCTGTGCAGTGAAGATAAGATAAACAGATGCAATTGAATTGTTATTTGACTTTTGAACTGTAGATTTACATTGCAGAATTAGGAAATTATTTAATAATTTACATAAAAATATTATTAGTCATCAAAATGCAGTGTAGACCGTTTTTGTGTATTGTTTTTTACTTATTTGTATTATTCACATAAGTGTAATGTATTATTTCTTGTTTATTTGATCCTCATGTTTATAACAATGCGTCCCTTATGCACATCGTTCCCAGCTTTACAATCAGCTAAACGTTTCAGTGATTATGGCTGCTGCAATGATGAAGTTCATATTTCTAGAAATGCACCGGGTATCCGGTATTATTCGGCGCTTTTTTACTATTTCGATTGGATAACCGGATATCATTAATATTCGGGAATATATCCGAATATCATTAATTCGGAAATATACTTGGTTGAAATTTGATATCATTAAATTGTTGATTTTTTTCTTATACAAATGTTCTAGAAATAAGTATACATATTCATGATGCTATAATATCTTATTCATTGTTGCAAAATTACAATCTTTTTCTGTATAGGCCTTTTTAGAAGAAACTTCCTCGGAATTCAATTGGATAAATGTCAGATATCCGACGCGAAGAAATTGCCTTCTTGGATATCCGATGTTACATTCTGTCCGATCTGATAATTTTATTTAGTGCATTTCTAATAATTTCTTTTATGTAATCCCGGATCATACGGACAATAATGCTTTGACACTGAACGCTTATTGGTGAAAAACAGATGATGGGAATAAATTTTACCCCCCATCATCCTGAACGAAATTCTGTTTCAGTAGTGAGAAAAGGTGGTAGATTTGTATTACATTTGTCATACGATAAAGCATTTCAAGCCTATAGATTGGCTACAAGAAAGAGAAAATCAGATCTCTTTATTTTATAGTCATAAGTCACTCAATAAATTAAAAATTTTTGTCGTATGACAAATACTAAAAATCGACGAGCTATTTCCGCGTAAAAATCAGATAGTTTCATGTTAATAAACAAAAAGACCAATATTTCCTAAAATTATACTAAATGCCGCTTATAATATACAGAAATATATACTTGCTTCGACAACAGCAAGTTTAGCTCGCATTTTGCTTGTTAAATCGCCTTTTATGTAGCTATTAAATTCCTAAGTCATTCCTTTTCTTTTTTTATTTATCTATATCTTATCTGTTTCATTTATCTGTTTCTTATCTGTTTTATTTATTTGTTTACTTATCTATTTCGTTTATCTATTTATCTATTTTATTTTTCTGTTATTTATTCGTTTCAACTTTTTGACAGAAAATAATATAAATTGATTTACAAAAAAATATTCTATTTTTATAGTTTACATATAACCTTAACTTTATTAATAGCTATAAAAAGCTTGATACAATTTTTGCTTGGTACAATTGACATTAATTGACTAAATAAGAAGAAGTAATTGTTAGGAGCTGTATGTCAATGAATTTTGATGAGTCAGACGTTTTTCAAACAGAACAATAAGTTATTATGATCAAAATGTCAAAATGATCATTAAAAGTCATTTTTCATTTCGGATTCATTTTATGTTATTATGACTTGTTATTCTTTTTGGATTAGTATACTTACTCCAGTCGGCATTGGATCATTCTGTTTAAAAGAAACCGACATCACCAAAGGTGGTACAATCGAGCAATGATTCCATTGATCAGGATCTTGTCCGGCATGGATAGCTATCGTAGCGAAACCTTTTTCTGTTGACGTCATCGTCTATGTAGTAAAAAAAATGTTCTACGTATATTGATTAAAAATATAATTTATTATTAATCAGCAATTAATAGAAATATTGTTTAATAAAACTCTTATTCAGGGAATCTCGTTTAAATCTTTTTGATCTGGACGTATACAGGGTCTTCTAAACAGAAGTTTTATTTATATTGTTAATCTAAATATCAAATACTAACAGACTTATCTTAAAAAATCTTATAATCTTAAAAATAAAAATAAACAATAAATTTAAAGCTAATTCGAGTCAAGGCCGATGAAGATTCAGAGATTAAATTCTAATCCAAAGATTAATTTCCATGGTGTTTAATCGTCTTTATTAAGAACGCTTCGACTCTCTTTGTAGCTATCATCAATAATGATATATCTCTTAAATCGTAATCATTGATCCTTCCATCAAAAATGAGTTACTATCAGATTCACAACTGCAGTAGAATCGCAAACGAGAAGTTTAACATTTAAATGAAGCTTTGGAAGTTTTCATTATCACTAACTTCAAATTATTTTTTAATATTTAAACAATTTTTAAACTTATTATCCATATTATCTATATTTATTATTATATATTATCTTAATTATTATATATTATATTAATTGTTATTCATATTAATAATGATTAAAATTTTAACTGTATTACTGAGATAATCAGCGTCTAACGGGCGCTAATTTCAATTGATTGAAATTTTGCTGACTCACTTTTGACGGACGGATCAATGATTATTTAAGAGATGTATTATTACTGATGGCTACAAAGAGAGCCGAAACGTTTAATAAAGAAGATTAAACACTATAGAAATTATAATCTTTGTATTAGATTTATTCTCTGGCACCTTCATCGGTCTTGATTCGAATTAGCCTTGAATTTATTGTTTATTTTTATTTATATCGTTGAATGATTTTTTTTTATTGATATATACTTATTAGTAACAATAATATAATAATAATGTTTGGCGCGCGTAATTTTAATGTTTTAATTTTTATTAAAGATTTATTACGTCTTACTTTTTATGTTACTTTTTAAGTCATTTTAAATACAAGTTAAATTGTTATCGTGCATGTTGGTTTCGGTCTTTCATTCACGGAGTAAATGTATGAAATAGACTAATTAATTAAAATTAATTTTAACAGAGAGAGTTCTAATACAGTAATTCTATTTGAATAGTGCATACGATAACAATTTACAACTCAAGAGATAACACATTTACGTGACATAAAAAGTGAGATGCGATAAATCTTCGATAATAATTAAAAAATTAAAATTGTTAATTCAAATTAGGAGACAAAATTTTGTTTCATTATTTATACGTTAAAAAAAGAAAGAGAAGTATTCTTTTTTTTTAGAGATCGAAGCACTCTGGAATGTTGTGAAATGCTTCGAATAGCGTTCATAGAATTTAAATTTAGTTGCGAGAGCATTCTGGGGTGTTTTTTATTCAACCAGAAGCTATTATAGCTAATGCTATCTTCGTTTTTAGAAATCAAAAGACAAAGATATCTTTAGCGTGGTTGCTTCTGGTTGCATAATGAAAAAACGCCATTGTTTGAGATTCTCCTCAGCTACACCTTTTACATTCATCTAGTTCGGACATTCCTGGCCCCATGACAAAAAATGTAACTGATAAAGGACTGTTTTTTTTGACAGTGAATAATTCGAGTGATGAAATAGCCAGATGTAGATTAAGAAAATCTATTGAAGAGTCAGCAAAATTCACTCACTTGATATCGATACCACTGAATATCTGCTGAAACTGATGTTGACTGGAGTAATCTGACCGATGACGAGCTACTTAAATAACTTATATAATTATCATTGACAGTCATGTGATCGTGGAAGGAGAAAAAGGACAAAGTTTCTTTTGCACTATGATGGAACGTTTGTTCGCGTTGTTTGCACTTTTTTGCATTTTTCGCTTTTTTTTTTTTCAATGCTCGAATACATATTTATCTCAGTTTAAGTGCAAAAATTTTTGAGAATTTCAAGCAAAGATTTTAAATAGACTTGTACTATAATATCAGATGCAATGATCACACATCGCGATATAAGCTAACGTGAAATAGGAACGCGCAATACGTGTGTCGATACACGGTATGTTCGTTACGCATAAAAAAATTTTTTTTATAAAAAGATTATAAATCGCCTTTAAAAAGACGATTTTTAACCGTAATTTTCTCAAGAAAAATTCTTTCTCGTAACAATATTTGTATTTTTATCATATCGATCGAGAAAAAATAGAGACTAAATTGAAATCGATATTTCATGTTAGAAATATGCGATACGAGAAAATGCGTATCGCACATCCATAACATGAAGTATCGATTTTAATTTTTTCCCAATTTGCATTTGTATAGTGTATACGTATGTATATTTATTAGTATGATTATTAATGTATATTTTCCTACTATGGTATTACTATATATGTATGTACAATAGATATGTTTTATATTTTTATAAAGATACACTAAAATGTATATTAATGCAACAAATAAATATTTGTTGTGTATTATTATATATAATTGTAAATATTTTTTTCTCCAATTACATCAAAAACTAATAAAAATCGCAATTTCGACTTTCAGAAGTTTTCAAAGTATTGGGAGTACAAATTAGTTCGGTCCGTTTCCCTAAAGATAGTTCCAGCTGTTGTGAATGGTTCATAGTGACAGCTTTTGGCAGTTTCAGAGAGGTTAAACATCTGCTAATAATATTCAGTTTATATCGCTTTGAGTTTCATACAAAAACCTTGATTTTTACTGTGTTTGAAATGTCGAATTTTGTGTCAACCAAGCAGCATTTGCGGGAAGTTTTGATTTTCTGCTTTAATTGGAAGAAAAGTGCGGCTGAAGCCCATCGAACTATGCTTGTCGAAGTTTTGGTGACACTGCTCCAACTGATAAATCCATGTAGGGAATGGTTTCAAGGATAGAGATTTCAGTATTGAAGACAAGCCTCGCTCTGGACAGCCAAAAAAATTCGAAGACAAAGAATTAGAGGCATTATTCGAAGAAGATCAGAGTCAAGAGGAGCTTGCAGAATCATTGGGGATAACTCAACAAGCCGTTTCTGTACAATTGAGAGCTATGGGAATGATTCAAAAACAAGGAAATTGGATGCCTTATGAAACCGAGAGATGTTGAAAGGCGATTTTTCACTTGCGAACAGCTGATTAAAAGACAACAGAGAAAAGACTTTTTGCATTGGATTGTGACTGGAGATGAGAAGTGGATATTCTACGACAACCCCAAGAAGAAAAAATACTACGCTAAGCCCGGTCAATCGTTGCCATTGACCTCAACATCAACACCACGGCCGAACATTCATGGCATTTATTCGAAGTTTCATGCTCTATATCTGGTGGGATCAAAAGGGTCTTGTTTACTATGAGCTGCTGAAACCTGGTGCTTCCATTACAGGCGATCGGTATCGACTACAATTGATTCATTTGAGCCGTGCATTGCGAGAAAAACGACCGGAATACGAGCAAAGACATGATAAAGTTATTCTTCTTCATGACAACGCTCGGCCTCATGTCGCTAAAGTCATAAAAAAATATTTGGAAACGCTCAAATTGGATGTTTTACCGCACCCGTATTCTCTGGACATTGCTTCTTCTGATTACTGGTTGTTCCGAAGGATGCAGCAAGTCACCGGTTCACTTCTTTCGCAGAAATCGAAAATTGCCTGAGAGATGGTTAAAAGTAATAGGCAGCGATTTCTAGGCAGCGATTTCTGGACAATACTTTAATTGATCTGTTCATTCATTTTGTTTTGAAATAAATGCATTTTTGAACACAAAAAAACGAACTAATTTGTACTTCCAATATCAGGAGAATATTTGGCAAACAAAGAGTTTGTATATACATATTGTATAATTCCAAAAATATTTCCTATTTGCAAGAATTCTTGCATTTCTAAAAATTACAATATTCTAATAATTATAATAATATGAATAATATTAAAAATTTATATTGCGAAAATCAAGTCTTGTACAGAGTATAATAAAAAAAATAATCTGTAAGAAATTTTATATATATCATTTTATCTGTAAGGAAACTTAAATATGCAAAATTTCAAGAACACAATACGTAATGCGAAAGATAAGTATATATGAAAATAATACGTAATTTCCTAGATAGCCAAGCAAGATTTAGCATATGGAACAAATTGATGCATTGTATTATTTTCAACTTGTCGATTAATTTGCTGTCATTGGAATTTAATGTGAACTGAGTTAGCATCAGGAGGGCAAATAAAGTTCATGAGTTTACGAAATTGTAAAAGTATTTGAGAAATAATAAACTCGTCACGTTGACAGCAAACTGATGGACGCCATGCACGCATGATGATAACTTGCCAGCCGTTTGCTGAATTCTAAGGAAGATTTTACGTGACATCAGAACAACAGACAGTTTGTGGAAACACTTTAGCTTTAGTTTGATGAAATTGAATGCGGAATAAATGACAGCAAAATGGCAACATATGCCCTTATTTAGTTATCTGGAAGAAATCGTTGATTGGACATCGATTTCATTGTTACTTCCCTTTTTGTAATTATTATCATTGATAACCAGATAAGGGTTGTTTATAGTTCTCGTTTTTATGAATTTTAAATAAGCAATTAATATTAAACATCGTTTAGTTCATAGCCCTTGTGTATATTTATTATTTGGTTTAAATTATTTGAATCCGTTATCTAATTTATTGTTGTAATTTATTTTATTTATGAACTTGAAAATACATATATTCAGAAATGCTTGACAACTTCGTTAATTCATTAACAAGCGTCCAATGCTTATTTGAGATCGGCTGAGATCGTCTTCGACTTCAAGGTCAACAGATAATCGAATTAATTAATCAGTTACGCCTCGTATATCTTCTTAACAAGTGCGTTATTACGAATCTAAATGAGAAGAATACATTAAAAAAATATTTTTAAATACATATTTCAAATATACTTACGGCAATTCGACTAGCGATTCGTAACCCTCTAAGGATACAGCTAAAACAAAAATTTTCAATGCTAACAAAAAGCGTTTAGAATAGTTTTTCAGTAGAAAGAAACCATTCCGCTGTGCCCTGTTTGTGTAAGTGCAAGCTGATATTGCGGATGTGACGAAAAAACTGCAATGTAACAATATGTGTATTTTATTATAAACGCTTTATCGTCATATTTATTATTCAAAAATTAATTATATATGCTTCTTTTTTAAAAAACATACAGAATAAGAAGAGTAAACAGTTATACGTACGTGGATGAATCACTTTCTCGAGATTAGAATGAAAATCGAGAAACATAGCTACGGCTAAACCATTTTTCTATTATAATGTCTGGATGAGATTTCAGACTTTCAGCTTTTATATCTGTTAATTTGACTAAAGGATTTGTAGGCGTCTCTATAGTCATATCTACAGTAGAATAAATTATAATGCAGAAAATACTAATGTGATACTAAAAAATTTAAAATACAAAATATTGTTAAAATATAAAATTTAAAATACAAAATATTAAATTTTAATACAAAGTAAATGTAAATAATAACAGTAATATTTTTAGTTTTTTTATTTACCTTTGTATTTGGCTGTATGGAATCTATAACATTTTGTACATCAGTCATATCAATGAAAATACATTTCATGCCTTGTTTGCTACTACATTTCTGGATATAACTGTTGTTCCACCATAAAGATCGTCTTCGACAACCAAATGATCTCCTACCTCCAATAAACCTATAATAGCAGTAAGGGTACCTAATCCAAAAGAAAAAGGCATGTTTATCTTTCTCTAAAGCAGTCAAGCATGTCTCCATTACGCGTAGGATTGCCGATTCTGTATTCCATATGAAAAATGCTACATGTAAAATGAAATAATTAAGATTAAAACGCCATCATACAAGATTGTTTTTTTTTGCCATAATTCACTTAAATTCACTTAGATTTAATTTGAAAATAATATATACAAGCATTATTTTAATAAAAATTATAAACTTAAAAACATTTTTAAATTATATTTGAAGAAATAAAAAGCTTTCGACAGTTAATGAATATTATTGCAATTAAGTTTTATTATATATAATAATTGACTTCAATTATTGTATTATATTAGGTGTAGTAAAAAGAAATCCATTATTTTTGCATGAAATTGAATGGAAAAATAAAAGATTTCTTTTTACTACACCTAATATATAATAAAATTTAATTGCAATAACATTCAGCATTAGCTCTCAAAGGCTTTTTATTCTTTATTGATTCAATTCATTAAAGCTTATCATTTCTATCATTTATATTCAAAAGAATAAAGCTTATATTCTTTCTAAATAATTCTGTGCAGATGCAGAATAAGACAAACAGGTGCAATCGAATTGTTATTTGACTTTTCACTTACGTGAACTATGTTTTATGTGACTTTTGAAGTGTAGATTTATATTGCAGAACTGGAAAATTATTTAATAATTCTCATAAAAATATTAGATATTAAGCACCAAGATGCAATCTCGATCACATATTTATTTGTATTCACATAAGTGGTTTAATATATTGTTGCTTATTTGTTTTTCAATAAAGAAAAGACTAAAATCTTTCAAAGTTATACTAAATTCTTATATCTTGATCAGAGATGCCAAAGAGTTTGCAGGCTTATCGCCGGGCTATTCAGTTCATTAGGGCGAGAAACTAATACTATATTAGTGATACAATATTAATTTCTCTTCCCCATAGGCTCCTCGCCCTAATGAAGTGAATGGGTAAAAGTTCACGATATATTGA